ATTGTTACTGAGGGGCCACAGAACTGTTACTTAGGGCCCAGAAAACGTTAGTTAGGGCCACAGCATTGTTACTCGGACAGACAACAGAATTGTTACTGAGGGCCACAGAATTGTTACTGAGGGACACAGAACCGTTACTTTAGGCCAAAGAAATTGTTACTCAGGGACACAGAATTGTTACTGAGGGCCACAGAACCGTTACTTAGGGCCACAGAATTGTTACTCAGGGACATACACAGAATTGTTACTCAGGGACACAGAATTGTTACTCAGGGACACAGAATTGTTACTGAGGGGCCACAGAACCGTTTACTTAGGGCCACAGAATTGTTACTCAGGGACACAGAATTGTTACTGAGGGCCACAGAAACCGTTACTTAGGGCCACAGAATTGTTTACTACAGGGACACAGAATTGTTACTTAGGGCCACAGAAACATTACTCAGGAGTTGTTTTTTTTTTTTGGGACACTAGAATTGTTACTGAGGGCCACAGAACTGTTACTTAGGGCCACAGAAACGTTAGTTAGGCCACAGAATTGTTACTCGGACAGACACAGAATTGTTACTGAGGGCCACACAGAATTGTTACTGAGGGACACAGAACCGTTACCTAGGCCACAGAATTGTTACTCAGGGACACAGAATTGTTACTGAGGGCCACAGAACCGTTTACTTAGGGCCACAGAATTGTTACTCAGGGACAGACACAGAATTGTTACTGAGGGCCACAGAAACCGTTACTAGGGCCACAGAATTGTTACTCAGGGACACAGAATTGTTAACTTAGGGCCACAGAAACATTACTCAGGGACACAGAATTGTTACTGAGGGCCACAGAACTGTTACTTAGGGGCCACAGAAACGTAGTTAGGGACACAGAATTGTTACTCAGGGACAGACACAGAATTGTTACTCAGGGACACAGATTGTTACTGAGGGCCACAGAATCTGTTACTTAGGGCCACAGAAACGTTAGTTAGGGACACAGAATTGTTACTCAGGGACAGACACAGAATTGTTACTGAGGGCCACAGAACCGTTACTTAGGGCCACAGAAATTGTTACTGAGGGACACTGAAACTGTTACTGAGGGACACAGAACCGTTACTTAGGGCCACAAGAATTGTTACTGCAGGGACAGACACAGAATTGTTACTCAGGGACACAGAATTGTTATGAGGGCCACAGAACCGTTACTTAGGGCCCACAGAAACGTTACTCAGGGACAGGCACAGAATTCTTACTCAGGGACAGACACAGAATTGTTACTGAGGGACACAGAATTGTTACTGAGGGACACAGAATTGTTACTGAGGGACACAGAATTGTTACTGAGGGACACAGAATTGTTACTGAGGGACACAGAATTGTTTTACTGAGGGACACAATTGTTACTGAGGGGGTACAGACACAGAATTGTTACTCAGGGACAGACACAGAATTGTTACTCAGGGACAGACACAGAATTGTTACTCAGGGACAGACACAGAATTGTTACTCAGGGACAGACACAGAATTTGTTACTCAGGGACAGACACTGAATTGTTACTGAGGGGACACACAGAATTGTTACTGAGGGACACAGAATTGTTACTCAGGGACACAGAATTGTTACTGAGGGTGGCCATTTAGAACCGTTACTTAGGGCCACAACAGAATTGTTACTGAGGGACACAGAAACTGTTACTGAGGACACAGAACCGTTACTTAGGGCCACAGAATTGTTACTCAGGGACAGACACAGAATTGTTACTCAGGGACACAGAATTGTTACTGAGGGCCACAGAACCGTTACTTAGGGCACAGAAACGTTACTCAGGGACAGGCACAGAATTTCTTACTCCAGGGACAGACACAGAATTGTTACTGGAGGGACACAGAATTGTTTTTTTTTTATGAGGGACACAGAATTGTTACTTGAGGGACACAGAATTGTTACTGAGGACACAGAATTGTTACTGAGGGACACAGAATTGTTACTGAGGGACACAGGAAATTGTTACTGAGGGACAGACACAGAATTGTTACTCAGGGACAGACACAGAATTGTTACTCAGGGACAGACACAGAATTGTTACTTCAGGGACCGAACAGAATTGTTACTCAGGGACAGACACTGGAATTGTTACTGAGGGACACAGAATTGTTACTGAGGGACACAGAATTGTTACTCAGGGACACAGAATTGTTACTGAGGGCCAAATAGAACCGTTACTTAGGGCCACAAGAAATTGTTACTCAGGGACAGACACAGAATTGTTAACTAGGGACACAGAATTGTGTTACTGAGGGCCACAGAAGACCGTTACTTAGGGCCACAGAACCGTTACTCAGGGACAGACACAGAATTGTTACTCAGGGACACAGACACAGAATTGTTACTCAGGGACAGACACAGAATTGTTACTCAGGGACACAGAATTGTTACTTAAGGGACACAGAATTGTTACTGAGGGACACAGAATTGTTACTGAGGGCCACAGAAACTGTTACTTAGGGCCACAGAACTGTTACTTAGGGCCACAGAAATGTTACTCAGGGACACAGAATTGTTACTTGAGGGACACAGAATTGTTACTCAGGGACAGACACAGAATTGTTACTGAGGGCCACAGAACTGTTACTTAGGGCCACAGAAACTGTTACTTAGGGCACAGAAACGTTATACTCAGGGACCCAGAATTGTTTACTCAGGGACACGGTAATCGTTTAATTAAAGAGTATGTCAGACAACATGCAGAGGAGTGGCAGAGGAGGCATGTTTTAGGAGCGAGCAGACGTTCGGCAGCAGAGGAAGGGGGTCGAGGTAGCACTACTCGCAGGCCAGAGGCTAGTGCTCCCCGGTGTCATCCAGTACAGTGAGGAAGAGCTAACAGAGGGGGTCAGGGAACGGGGGGAGACATCTGCCTCTTCAGCAGCCAGGCGAAGAAGTAGTGGCGAGGAGAGTGGCTCGGTAGCCGGTGTAGAGACAGGTCTGTCTCCTGACCAACACGCAGCCGAGGGGGCTAGTAGGTGAGGCGGAGACCCTAATTTGATGGTGATGAGGCTGATCGCACTTGGCAGCCTCGTCGTCATCAGGCTATTGTGCTTCCGCATCATCAGGAGAAGAGGGTGGGCAGCTTGGCAGCGAGCAAAACAGTCGGTGGTGTTGTCTCCATCGCCACACTCTGCCATGGTGGCCACTTTCAGGTCTCTCACACATGCTGGTGTGTTGAATTTTTTGACATAGGGTGCTGGCAGATTACGGGCCTCCCATAGCTGCCTGCCAGGCCCCCCTAATCTGCCATGGGCCCCCTATTACCGCCTCCTCATGCTGCTGCCAGGTCCACAGTCTCTCATGCCATGTGCCCTTTCAGGTCTCCTCACACTGCTGGTGTTGGTGTGTTGATTTTTTGAAGTTTGTGACATAGGGTGCTGGCAGATTACGGGCCTCCCATAGCTGCTGCCAGGCCCCTAAACTGCCATGGGCCCCTATATTACCGCTCCTCATGCTGATGCCAAGTCCAGAGTCTGTCATGGGTCCCTGTACGGTCCTTCCCATTGCTGCTGTCTCCATCGCCACACTCTGCCATGTTGCCACTTTCAGGTCTCCTCACACACTGCTGGTGTGTTGAATTTTTTGACATAGGGTGTGCTGGCAGATTACGGGCATCCCATAGCTGCTGCCAGGCCCCTAATCTGCCATGGGCCCCTATATACCGCCTCCTCATTTGCTGCTGCCAAGGTCCAGAGTCTGTCATGGGTCCCTGTACGGCCTCCCATTGTGTGTGTCTCCATCGCCAACACTCTGCATGTGCCACTTTCTGGTCTCCTCACACACTGCTGGTGTGTTGAATTTTTTGACATAGGGTGCTGGAGATTACGGGCCTCCCATAGCTGCTGCAGGCCCCTAATCTGCCATAGGCCCTATATACGCCTCCTCATGCTGCTGCCAAGTCCAGAGTCTCTCATGGGTCCCTGTAGACGGCCTCCCATTGCTGCTGTCTCGCCACACTCTGCCATGTGCCACTTTCAGGTCTCCTCACACCACTGCTGTTGTGTTCAATTTTTTGACATAGGGTGCTGGCAAGATTACGGGCCCTCCCCATAGCTGCTGCCAGGCCCCTAAATCTGCCATGGGCCCCTATATACCGCCCTCCTCATGCTGCTGCCCAAGTCCAGAGTCTCTCATGGGTCCCTGTACGGTTCTCCCATTGCTGCTGTCTCCATCGCCACACTCTGCCATGTGCCACTTTCACAGGTCTCCTCACACACTGCTGTGTGTTAGAATTTTTTGACATAGGGTGCTGGCCGATTACGGCCCTCCATAGTGCTGCCAGGCCCTAATCTGCCATGGGCCCCTATATACCGCCTCCTCATGCTGCTGCCAGTCCAGAGTCTGTCATGGTCCCTGTACGGCCTCCCATTGTGCTGTCTCCATCGCCACACTCTGCCATGTGCCACTTTCAGGTCTCCTCACACACTGCTTTTGTGTTGAATTTTTTGACATAGGGTGCTGCTGGCAGATTACGGGCCTCCTATAGCTGCTGCCAGGCCCCTAATTGCCATAGGCCCCTTATATAACCGCCTCTCTATGCTGCTGCCAAGTCCAGAGTCTCTCATGGGTCCTGTACGGCCTCCCATTGCTGCTGTCTCCATCGCCACACTCTGCCATGTGCCACTTTCAGGTCTCCTCACACACTGCTGTTGTGTTCAATTTTTTGACATAGGGTGCTGGCAGATTACGGGCCTCCCATAGCTGCTGCCAGGCCCCTAATCTGCCATGGGCCCTTATATACCGCTCCTCATGCTGCTGCCAGTCCAGAGTCTGTCATGGGTCCCTGTACGGTCTCCCATTGCTGCTGTCTCCATCGCCACACTCTGCCATGTGCCACTTTCAGGTCTCCTCACACACTGTGGTGTGTTGAATTTTTTGACATAGGGTGCTGGCAGATTACGGGCACCTCCCATAGCTGCTGCCAGGCCCTAATCTGCCATGGGCCCCTATATACCGCCTCCTCATGCTGCTGCCAAGTCCAGAGTCTGTCATGGGTCCCTGTACGGCCTCCCATTGCTGCTGTCTCCATTGCCACACTCTGCCATGTGCCACTTTCAGGTCTCCTCACACACTGCTGGTGTGTTGAATTTTTTGACATAGGGTGCTGGCAGATTACGGGCCTCCCATAGCTGCTGCCAGGCCCTAATCTGCCATGGGGCCCCTATATACCGCCTCCTCATGCTGCTGCCAAGTCCAGAGTCTGTCATGGGTCCCTGTACGGTCTCTCCTTTGCTGCTGTCTCCATCGCCACACTCTGCCATTGTGCCACTTTCAGGTCTCCTCACACACTGCTGGTGTGTTGAAATTTTTTGACATAGGGTGCTGGCAGATTACGGGCCTCCCATAGCTGCTGCCAGGCCTTAATCTGCCATGGGCCCCTATATACCGCCTCCTCATGCTGCTGCCAGGTCCAGAGTCTGTCATGGGTCCCTGTACGGCCTACCATTGCTGCTGTCTCCATCGCCACACTCTGCCATGTGCCACTTTCAGGTCTCCTCACACACTGCTGTTGTGTTGAATTTTTTGACATTAGGGTGCTGGCAGATTACGGGCCTCCTATAGCTGCTGCCAGGCCCCTAATCTGCCATAGGCCCCTATATACCGCCTCCTCATGCTGCTGCCAAGTCCAGAGTCTCTCATGGGTCCCTGTACGGCCTCCCATTGCTGCTGTCTCCATCGCCACACTCTGCCATGTGCACTTCAGGTCTCCTCACACACTGCTGGTGTGTTGAATTTTTTGACATAGGGGTCGCTGGCAGATTACGGGCCTCCCATAGCTGCTGCCAGGCCCCTAATCTGCCATGGGCCCCTATTATACCGCCTTTCTCATGCTGCTGCCAGGTCCAGGAGTCTGTCATGGTTCCCTGTACGGCCTCCATTGCTGCTGTCTCCATCGCCACACTCTGCCATGTGCCACTTTCAGGTCTCCTCACACACTGCTGGTGTGTTGAATTTTTTTGACATAGGGTGCTGGCAGATTACGGGCCTCCCATAGCTGCTGCCAGGCCCTAATCTGCCATGGGCCCCTATAGACCGCCTCCTCATGCTGCTGCCAAGTCCAGAGTCTGTCATGGGTCCCTGTACGGCCTCTCCATTGCTGCTGTCTCCATCGCCACACTCTGCCATGTGCCACTTTCAGGTCTCCTCACACACTGCTGGTGTTTGAATTTTTGACATAGGGTGCTGGCAGATTACGGGCGATCACATAGCTGCTGCCAGGCCCCTAATCTGCCATGGGCCCCTATATACCGCCTCCTCATGCTGCTGCCAGTCCAGAGTCTGTCATGGGTCCCTGTACGTCCCCCATTGCTGCTGTCTCCATCGCCACACTCTGCCATGTGCCACTTTCAGGTCTCCTCACACACTGCTGGTGTGTTGAATTTTTTGAAATAGGGTGCTGGCAGATTACGGGCCTCCCATAGCTGCTGCCAGGCCCCTAATCTGCCATGGGCCCAATACCGCCTCCTCATGCTGCTGCCAGGTCCAGGCTGAACGTTAGTCACCACAGGGGAGGAACTTCTCAGTGTAATGAACAGAGAAATCGACAGATGGCTGTTTCCGCGCAAACTGAAAATCGGAACCATGTTGACCAGACAACGGAAAGAACATGGTGTCTGCTCTGCGTCAAGTAAGGTTGTGCCATGCGCCATGCATGGCTCACGTGTTCAATCTGGGTGTCAAGCATTGGTTCCTAAAATCCACCATCCCACTGCAAGACATCCTTAAAATGTCATGTAAACTTTGCATCCCATTTCAGCCATTCCTACACCGCAAACCCACCACACCTCCTTGAGCTGCAGCGGCAGAACGGAATTGCACAGCATCGCCTGATCTGCGACGTTGCAACAAGGTGGAATTCAAATATACCCACCCTTACACATGTGCTAGACCGCCTTTACGAACTGCGAAAGGCCAATAGACCGATTTCCTGATGGTTACAAGCGGGTAAAGGTACTCCCCTGTGTAACTTCGATGTCAGCCATTGGCAGCTCATGCGTGACACCTGCCGCTTGCTCAGGCCCTTTTCAGGAGGCCACGCTATTCGTGAGTCGGCAGGACTATGGGATGAACGACGTCATTTACTCTGTTGCACGTCCTGGAACAAATGCTGTGTTAACAATGGCTGGTAGGGTGCGGTAGACGTGGCGCACAGATCTCAAACGCCACATGACCCTGTGGGGGCAGGACAGGAAGAAGAGGAGGAGGTAGAGGAGGACATTTGCTGTGCTCAGGAATTATTGCCATGTGAAATGGGTAGTTTTCCACTCAGCGGAACAGGAGGTGGAGGAGCAGGAGCATCTGGTAGAGGAGGAGTGAGGAGGAGACAGAGGACCCAGAGCACCGTGGCAGTATGCTGTGGAGATGGAGGCAGGGGAGTCCTCGCATTCCTCTGTGGCACAAAATGGCCCATTAGCTGCATCGGTTGCCTTGCGTAGCGACAGCCCTGAATATTCGCACACTGGTGCCCCATCAGACAGAGGGATGACTTTTGGCTGTCACCTTGTTGGACCCTCGCTACCGTTCTGGTGGTGGCCTTTTTTGGACACACCTGCTGAGAGGGAGGCCAAATAACGTACTATAAAAACCACCTATGTAGTCAGTTGGTCTCTGCCTTTCTGCTGCCAATGTCCATCCTCAGACACTGTGGGCCCTGTGCGCTCGCGTTCCGCTGCCATGGCAGCAGGGAAGGGGTGGGGTGGTAGGAGCAGTTTCAGCTCCACTAGCAGCGGCTGCCTCAGTCTGCAGTCGATGATGAGTAGCTTTCTTCACCAGCGTGTGAGGAAACTACTAACCAGCTCGCAGCAGCAGCAGCATCAGTTGGACCTGGAGCAGGAGCTCAAACAACAGGCTTGGGCCTACTTGGCCCATGACAGCACCCTGCCAACCGAGGTAGACAATCCCCTTGACTACTGGGCAACGAAACTTGACCTTTGGCCCCAACTAGCTGAATTTGCCCTTGAAAGGCTGTCATGCCCGGCCAGTAGCGTGGCATCGGAGCGCGTGTTTAGTGCGGCAGGAGGTATTGTAATCCGCGGAGGACACTACTGTCCACCCTAAAGTGTGGAGAGACTCACGTTTATGAAAATGAATCAGGCGTGGATTAGTCTGGATTTCAAACCACCAGTTCCTGACACAACTGACTAAATCCGCCATGAATCATGCCCCAAACATGTGCCACTTTAGGTCTCCTCACACTGCTGGTGTGTTGAATTTTTTGACATAGGGTGCTGGCAGATTACGGGCCTCCCATAGCTGCTGCCAGGCCCCTAATCTGCCATGGGCCCCTATATACCGCCTCCTCATGCTGCTGCCAGGTCCAGAGTCTGTCATGGGTCCCTGTACGGCCTCCCATTGCTGCTGTCTCCATCGCCACTCTGCCATGTGCCACTTTCAGGTCTCCTCACACAGCTGTTTAGGTGCTGGTGTGTTGAATTTTTTGACATAGGGTGCTGGCAGATTACGGGCCTCCCATAGCTGCTGCCAGGCCCTAATCTGCCATGGGCCCCTATACCGCCTCCTCATGCCTCCTCATGCTCTCTGCCAGCTGTCCACAGTCTCTCATGCCATGTGCACTTTCAGGTCTCCTCACACACTGCTGGTGTGTTGAATTTTTTGACATAGGGTGCTGGCAGATTACGGGCCTCCATAGCTGCTGCCAGGCCCCTAATCTGCCATGGGCCCCTATATACCGCCTCCTCATGCTGCTGCCAAGTCCAGAGTCTGTCATGGGTCCCTGTACGGCCTCCCATTGCTGCTGTCTCCATCGCCACACTCTGCCATGTGCCACTTTCAGGTCTCCTCACACTGCTGGTGTGTTGAATTTTTTGACATAGGGTGCTGGCAGATTACGGGCCTCCTATAGCTGTTGCCAGGCCCCTAATCTGCCATGGGCCCCTATACCGCCTCCTCATGCTGCTGCCAGGTCCAGAGTCTGTTATGGGTCCTTGTACGGCCTCCCATTGCTGCTGTCTCCATCGCCACACTCTGCCATGTGCCACTTTCAGGTCTCCTCACACTGCTGGTGGGTTCCATTTTGTCATAGGGTGCTGACAGATTACGGGCCTCCCATTGCTGCTGCCAGGCCTGTAATCTGCCATGGGCCTCCGTACCGCCTGGTCACGCTGCTGCCAGGTCCACAGTGTGACATGGGTCCCTGTACCGCCTCCCATTGCTCCCACTCTGCCATGTGCCACTTTGAGGTCTCCTCACACTCCTGCTGGTTTCCATTTTGTCATACGTTGCTGTATGGCCTCCCATTGCTGCTGCCTCCACCGCCACACTGTGGCTCCAAACACTGGTTTTGGCCCCGTGACTGGCCAAATGAGTGAAGTGTGCGGTGATTCTAAGATCGACGGCACTCATCTGCATGTCATACTGACTGACAGTATTATTTCTCTTCCCCAGCAGACTCCAAGGGCATTTAAATTAAAGGTACAGTGTTCTGCACTAATATTAAGTCTCTCTGAAGCCTAGAAACACCCTTTTTTAAGTTAAATTCACAGCGAATATATTCGACTCGAATCGAATATTGTCCACGAATTCGCCGAATCAGTCGAATCGAATTTTTGAATACTTCGCTCATCTCTAATCTCAAGCCATTGTCCCTACCTTCTCTGCCAGGAATTAATCCCACCTGATCCAGGTGTATCCACTCCGGCATCAACTCCTTTGTCCTAGTTGCCAATACTTTAGCATATAATTTTGTGTCTATATTTAATAATGATATAGGTCTGTAACTAGCGCACTGTGAGCCATCCTTCCCTTCTTTAAGTATAATTGTTATTTATGCTTGCAGTGATTCTTCCCTCATTCACAGCCCCTCTCCTACTGCATCATATATATGCACATTTTAGGGACCAATAGTTCTTTAAATTTCTTGTAATAAACTTCAGTATATCTGTCGGGGCATGGGCTCTTTCCTGCTGCTGTATTCTTCAATGCCAAAGTAATTTCCTCTAAGGAGATATCTCTCTCTAGGGCCTCTAACTTTTCTTTTGATATTCTTGGCATACCAACTTCATTTAAGTATTTCTGCCTCTCTTTTCATCCTTGGTTTCTTTTTGATTTCTAGAACTCGCATCATACAACCTACTATAATATTTTTGACACGGTTTACTAGCGATATCAGTGATGGAGTACGCCATTTCCCCTTTTCCTTAGTTCATTTTTTCTATAAAATTCTTTAATTTCTTTTCCTTTAGTCTCTTCATTAGGTATTTTCCTGGTCTATTCCCCCAATGATATCTTTCTTTTGAGACCCTATTAAATATCCTCCTCGATTCTTGTTCCATTAGGTCTTTTAATTCTTCTCTTTTGAGAGTTATCTTCTGTTGTATTTCTATATCCATCTTCTTTTTATCTGACTGTTCTAATTTGTAGAGCTCCTCCGTCACAAGCCTTATTTTTTTTTCTCCCGCTCTTTCTTTTCTTCCGCCCCTATCGAAATCAGGATTCCCCTAATATATGCTTTATGTGCCTCCCAGATTGTGGCCAGAGATGCCTCCTCAGTCTCATTAGATGCAAAA